ACTTTCATGAGGAAAAATATGTAAGTTCTTATTGGCAGTTTTCTAATATTACTCTGTATCTTGAAAAACCTTCCACTCTTCTGGTCCCTATTGCTAAATTCCAATCATCCTGAAGGGGATTGATAATTGTGGCAAGAGCACAAAATGATTGCTACCTGTGGAGGCAATCATTTCCATCTCCTGCAGAACTGATGAGCAATTCATTATCAAGGATTTAATTGCTATAAACCTGTGAGGAAAAGGGATTTCTCATATGATTTCCAGGATTTTGTATATTCGACCCTCCTTGAGTCCAAATTATCTTTTGTGAATAGGAATTTGAAATCAGGCTGTGGCAGGAGGGTAATCGCACAATGGAAGTGCTGTGGAAATATTTGCATAACCTGTCTTAAACTTGTGATGTTACCTATAAATAGGATGCTGCACTCATGAGTGGGGTAGAATCTTCTTGAATAATTATGACAATTCTGGGAGCAAACCCACAGCTGGCTTCAGTCAGAAATGAGAAAAAAAAAACCTAGGTAAAAATAAGGCATATCAAGAGCTATGATGAGGCTTAGAGGCTTAGTGGTTAGAGTCAATTCGGGACTCAAGACTGCCTTGTCTCAAAGCCTGCCTCGACTCAAAGCCTGCCTCCATTTCCCAGCCCCTACTGAATGAACCTCAATAAGGCAGGCATGTCCTGCACAATTCTCAGTAGGAATGGTGCTGATAACAGTACCTGCCTCACATAATTGCTGCAAAGATTATTGTAGAATATCCATGTAAAGCCTCAGGCATGGAGCCCACATAAAGTAATATTATTCCTAAGGTATCTTAAAAGTTTCCTTCATTTTCTGAATTTGAATTTGCCCATGGATCTCAAGTATTTTCACCAGTAAAAAAAACTGTATTTTTAAAATTACCATATCTCTTTGTATGGACTCCTTGTTTCAACAGATTGCAGTGAGAAAATGGGGAATATCACTTTCTAATGACCCACTATGTGTCAGAAACAATACATTATGACATTTAATTTTTACCAACTGCTTTTTATAGGTGCCATTTTGTCTATTTTTACATGATATTGTTGTGAGCCAAGCTTCAAATCCTGGTTCTCCACTGATTAGCCATATGATTTAGCGCAAGTAATCTCTCTGTGTCATTTTCCTCTTCTGTGAAATGGGAATAATAGAAGACCCCACCTCACGTTACAATGGTGGCTGGCACACTGTAAGTTCTGAGATGATGCCAGCTATTATTATTATTTATTTGTTAAAAAAAAAAAAACAAACCTGGGTCCAGTCTCAGTGGCTCACACCTGTAATCCCAGCACTTTGGGTAGATTACCTGAAGTCAGGAGATAGAGACCAGGCTGGCCAACAAGGGGTAACTCTGTCTCTACTAAAAATAAAAATAAAAAATTAGCTGGGGGCCGGGCGCGGTGGCTCAAGCCTGTAATCCCAGCACTTTGGGAGGCCGAGGCGGGTGGATCACGAGGTCAACAGATCGAGACCATCTTGGTCAACATGGTGAAACCCCGTCTCTACTAAAATTACAAAAAAATTAGCTGGGCATAGTGGTGCGTGCCTGTAATCCCAGCTGCTCGGGAGGCTGAGGCAGGAGAATTGCCTGAACCCAGGAGGCGGAGATTGCGGTGAGCCGAGATCGCGCCATTGCACTCCAGCCTGGGTAGCAAGAGCGAAACTCCGTCTCAAAAAAAAAAAAAAAAAAAAATTAGCTGGGTATGGTGGCAGGCACCTGTAATCCTAGCTACTCAGGAGGCTGAGGCCAGAGAATGCTTGAACCTGGGAGGTGAAGGCTGCAGTGAGCCAAGATCGCATCACTGCATGCCAGCCTGAGTGACAAGAGTGAGACTCCAGCTCAAAAAAAAAAAAAGAAGTGAGCCTCATTCAGATAAGTGATCTTCCCAAGATCACAAAACTAATTAGTGGCTGAGCTGAGATTTTAATCCACATCTGTCTGATCCCAAAATAATCTATTTTACTGTATCACATGAACAAACTCTACTGTGGTAGAGAAACATCCATACTAAATAATAATTCATTCATCTTCGTAACTGTGACATCAAGTAAAATTGTAACTGTAAAACATTTTCTTACTGGTTCATCATCACCAGCGTCTTCACATTGTGCTGAAAACAGTGACTCACTTTTCTCACTTGAAAAGAATAGATAATAATGCTTTGCTTGCAGTTGTTTCCAGGCTTAGATGTGATTGTTAAAAAATAATCTTTTCTTACTCACTAGCAGCCATTATTTTTATATTTTATAGTTCTACCCCATAGAAATAATAATAAATGACACTTTAGTTATTTGGTGTAGTTTATTGTCGAGAAATGTGAATTATCTGGGTTTTTTTGTAAAATAATAATAAATTAAGAGTTGTCATCTCTGCAATCAAGGACCTTGTCATCTAGGTCACAGATTTGCACATTATAATCAGGTTTCAACAAAATGCACCCCTTGTAGTTCCTGAATTTGCCAGAAAATCCTCACAAGTCCTTGTCCTGGGGGGTAGAGGTGAAAATTTAAATTTACTTTAATCAAGGAGCTCAATGTGATGCAATACTTTAAACCATCCCTAAAGGTAACTCTGTTTCTTTCCAGTGTTCCCAGGTTTCTCCCCCTCTTCTTACACATTCTGTTCATTGAATATCTGGATGGGGATCTGGAATTGAAAGTACATGGCAGTATGGTGGGAGAAAAGAGAGAAACCTCAGATTGTACTTTACCTCCCAATTACATGTCAGGCTGCCAAAAAGCCTTTCAAAGTTCTGCATGGAGACACCCTTCTGCAGGGGAGGTGTCCTGTGTAAGCTAATCCTCAATCCAGATAAACAATGGAGCAAATGGAGGGTCAAAGGATGTGAACGGGGCTTTGGCCTCTTCCCACCATGCAAGGTGAAGAACAAATGTCCTCCATGTTTCCACCCAGGCAGGCACCATTTACAGAATCCCTGCTCTTCTGGTCTCCATGGCAATGCCCCTTATTGCCGGGTTGCTGAGCACCTGCTGGCAGTGAAGGAGGAAGCCTGTGTCTGGTGAATTGCACTCTGTGCTCTCCCAGCCCAGTCAGGACCCGTTGATACCTCTCTCTCTGCTTCTCCCCAAGCTGTATATCCCTCTGAGGCTGACTACTCTCACTTAGCTCCCAGGCTAGGAGAGCTGCCCTGCGACACACATAGATCCCTTTGCCTCTGGGCAGCAACCCCTAAGGCAAGCTCCCCAGCCGTTCTCAGCTAACCTCCAAATGCTCTCAGTGGTTCAGAAGAATTCTGGCTCTTTCAATTCCCTTCAAGAGCCAAGGGAGGCTCTAGATGCTATATCAGACTAGCTAGACTTTATCTTGCAGTGTGCCTCCAACCTGGTTCTAAGGCATTCACCCCATGTTGACATGGGAGGCACCTTACAAATCCCTTTCCTCTTGGATAGGAAACAGGACTAGAAAAACCTCTTTATTTGCTATCATGTTTTTCCTCAATCTATCTTGCTGATTTTCCCTCCCTGCTCTCCAGCCCGGAAAGTTTGATTAAGATGCATGTGTCTTATTACCTGCTCCATTGAGCTACTAACTTATTCCTTCCCAATCTACCTGAAATGAGAAAAATGGGACTTCAGCTGCTTCTTCCTCTCTCTCCCCAGGATGATACACATTCTACACCCTTCTGTTTCCCAAGGTTGCATCTTTCTTCCCTCTTCCTCTATAGATGTATTGAAATAACATTGTCTTAGTCCAGTTTATGTTGCTGTTATAGAAGATAACAGACTGTGTAATTTATAATGAACAGAAATTTATTTCTCACAGTTCGAGACTAGGAAGTTTAAGATCAAAGGGCCTTTTTGCTATATCATTCCACAGTGGGAGGTGGAAGGGCAAGAGAGGATAAGAGAGAGAAATAAAGAAGCTGAACTCTCATAGGAAACCCTCTTCCATGATAATCCATTCATGAGGGCAGAGCCCTGGTGGCTTAACCACCTCTCATTAGGTCCCACCACCCAAAACTGTTGCACTACGGATTAAGTTTCCAATATATGCTTTGGTGGAGACGAATTCACATGATAGCAGTTATTATTTATCACAAAAAAGAGAAAGAACCCCTAAATTTTTCAAAATATCCTAATTACAAGAGTAAACAAAGACGCAAGGAAAACATTTAATGAGCATTAAGAATAAAACTCATCAAAATAAACAGAGTCTAAATGGCAGAAAATAATCAAAGATTTCTTAAAATAGTTAACATATTGAAGGCATAGTAAGCCTCAGTAATTTCTTTTAATTATTATAGCTGTAGCATTCATTGTAGCATTGTTAGGGGTAATTCCACCGTGAAACGCAGCAATTGATGAGATGTGAATTGATGAATGAGCCTGTTCACAACTCAGCTGGTGATGGGTAGGTGGCTTGACTGGTGCTTCAAGAAGTATTTCCAAACATAAATGCCATTCATTGTCAAGATGCCCACCACATCTTCAAAATTTGCACCAAGCACCATGTCTTTATAAATTGTATTTCAGTAGGTATAGCTATTTTTGTTTTTATTAGTTATAACATGTGTGTGTTAGTGTGTTTGCTCACTGCTGTGAAGAAATATTTGAGACTGGGTAATTTATAAAGGAAAGAGGTTTAATTGACCCACAGTTCCACAGGGCTGGGGAGACCTCCGAAAACGTACAATCATGACAGAAGAGAAAGCAAACACATCCTTCTTCAGATGGTGTCAGGAGAGAAAAGTGCCGTGCAAAAGGGGGAAGAGCCCTTTATGAAACCATCAGATTTTGTGAGCACTCACTCACTATCATGAGAACAACGTGAGAGTAAATGCCCCCATGATTCAATTACCTCCTACCGGGTCCCTCACCCCCACCAGGACACTTGGGGATTGTAGGAACTACAATTTGAGGTGAGATTTGGGTAAGGACACAGTCAAACCATATTAACACCCCTTCATGAAAATTTACTGCAACCTAAAAAACAGTAAGCTCTCTTTTCTGTCTCAGCCAATGGCACCCAGCCATATTGAAGAAGCCCCAGAAACTCCAGGGCCGTGAGAACCACAACAAGAGCCACATCTGCAAGAACCAGGAGTAACTGAATGCTGTGATAATGCTGGTGACAGCAATTACAACAGATGTCACCCATATGATGTGGGAAGGCTGGTCTGAGACAACCCACTTCAAAAGGAAATAGCTTCTGCCCTACCGCTATTCTTACAAACCTTGGTCAGTGTGCAGACACATCAGTGGTACCAAAACAGAGCTAGAGCTGCCATCGCTGATGGTGATTGGGCAACTAAAAAGTTCTAGGGGAGGGAAAGCCCTAAAGCAGTCCATCATCCCAAAGACAAAATTCCTCAGCAGAAGAGCCAAGAAGAGTAATGGCCTATGTGTGTGGCGGGGAAGGGATCTGTGCCCTGCGGGTGTGAAGCCACAAGAAGTCAATTAAACGATAAATACTTTGGAAAATATTACCAGTGCAAGAGATTAGTTGTTTTTCAATGCCCTGTCACATCTTTTTTTTTACTGACATATAATAATTGCACATATTTATGGGGTACAATGTGATGTTCTGACACATGCATACCTTGTACAATGACCAAATCATGGTAATTAGCACATTCATTACTTTAAACATTTATTGCTTTGTTGTGAGAACACTCAGAATCCTCTCTGTTTAACCTAGGAAGGGCATCTCTGTACGTGTTCTTCCCTCCACCTCTCTGTTTAAATTTTCTGAGCGCCAGTGGTTAGCCACTGATGTCTCATCAGTGAAGAGCGGCTTCCAGGGTAGGTGTGATCATTCTGTACAACTGTTCCACGTCTGATCATTACTGGGTGGAAAATTTCCAGCATCTTCCTGGTCTTTCTCTAATTAGGTGCAGAGCATGTGAGCTTTCTTCTGCCTTGAATCTTCTTCCCTGCTCACCATGTTGCTAAAATCCTCTGTCTTCCTCAAAATTATTCTGACATCATCTCTTCCCTGAAACATTCTCTCATCTTCCCAAGGAAAATTTGTCATTCTGTTTACTCCAAAACCCCTATACCTTATACAGTACACATTATCATTGGCACATCTAATGCCCTGTATCACAAGTACTTATTTACACAGTTGCCTCTGCTTATTTCCTTGAGGGAGTAAATTATATCCCATTCAACTCTGTCAGTTTAGGTCAGTGGTTCTCCATCCTGACTTCACAATGAAATCACCTGAAGAGGTTTAAGAAAGGCAGATGCCTTGAAGAAACCCCAGGGGTTCTGGCTTCCTTAGTCAAGGGTTTGGCATTAGAGTGGATTTTTAAAATTAGATTGTTTTTTAATGTGACAGACAATTTTAATGCATAACCAGGGTTGAGAGTCACTGCCCTTTTTCCCAGCACAGGACTTGGTGTGTTAGATTACTTGCCATGTAACTGTTTCATCTTTCTTATGTTCAATGCTCTTAACCTTTAGCAAATTTTCCCCTACTACTGTTAGGATGAGTCACCAAAATATCACTTGTCCCTGAAAAATTAAACAAACCTCTGAAATGGAAGTCACCATCCATCAGTGCTGTCCTTGAAGCATAGCTCATAATAGCACTTAAGATATAACTCTTCTTGAAGAAGTCATAGGCTGGCTGTTAACTTTATGATTTTTGCATGAAATCCACACATAACCTGAAAGATATTCTAGAAATGGAACTCTAAAACAACAACAACGAACCAGACAGGCACTTCCTGGAAAGTTCGAATTTCCCACACTCTGTCTCCCACCCAGCCATGGAATCTGAAGACTGTTCAAACTGCTTTCCTATAATCCCACGTAAGATGAGAACATTGTTAGCAAGAGGGCTGCATTGGTATCTGTGTGAGATTTCCCCCTTTTGTTTGGTTTTGACTTGGAGAAGATTTTCCATTGTGATGCTCAGATGTAAAGGCAGAAAGAAGCTTTTACATCAGGTGGTGGATGGTATAAGCTGAAAGCCTGTTGGGAGACCTTTGGCATATTTCTGAATTAACATGGAGAAAAAGAACTTTGAACAGTTTTCATCCTAATGACATGTTCAGAGCTTCCCCCCATTGGCCCCCCCTCAGTGGTTTGATCATCTGGACATAAATTGGGGATGGTTTGGTATTAATGATGTTGACCCCATTTTTTCTTTGACCATCAGTGAGGAGTCCCATCCTGATTTCCTTTTCCCTAGTTTGACCTGAAACCCAGCTGTCATTCCACCTGTGCCTATTTCTACATATTTTAGTATTCAGGCAAGGGTTAGACTTAATAAAAGCAGACAGATTCTGATTCTCCCATTTTATTATTTTGAAAGCCATATTAACCTGGTCTAGGCTGACCTTATGAAAGCTGCAGCGAGAGCCTTATAATGTGGGCCAAAGCCATCCCTTGCTTGAAAATGTCTTCTCTGATGCTAATAACCCATCATTTTAAATTAGTTCTTTAGAATTCAGGGCAGCTAGCTTAGAGCCAGACACCTGCCCCATCCCCATTGGTAACAGCACCCACCTTCCAGGGTCAGAATGAAGTAAGTCCTAGAAACGGGGAATATGATGCAGTTCATCACCTTATATATTACAGGTATGGGAGAGAAAAGGCTGATTGTAGTTAAGCAACATTGAGTATCAGCTTTGGGGAGGAAAGAGGAGACCAGTGCTTCACAAAGGACTGGATATCAAGCGTTCTTCTTGAGCATTAAGGGGACAGACTTCTCATTTAAAAGATGAAAAACCCAGGCTGGGTGTGGTAGCTCATACCTGTAATCCCAGCACTGTGGGAGGCTGAGGTGGGCAGATCACCTAAAGTCAGGAGTTCGAGATCAGCCTGGCCAACATGGTGAAACCCCGTCCCTACTTAAAAATATATAAAACTCAGCCAGGCATGGTGGCAGGTGCCTGTAGTCCCAGCTACTCAAGCGGCTGAGGCATGAGAATCACTTGAACCTGGGAGGTGGAGATTGCAGTGAGCCAAGATCCTGCCACTGCACTCCAGCCTGGGCGACAGAGCAAGACTCCATCTCAAATAAATAAAATAATGAAATGAAAGATGGAAGACCAAAAGAGATAGTACAGTGTATTAATAGTATATTTGTCCATTTTTGCATTGCTATAAAGACACACCTAAGACTGGGTAGTTTATAAGAAAAATTACTTAATTGGCTCATGGTTCTGCAGGGTGTACAGGAAGCAGAGCAACATCTGCTTCTGGAGAGGCCTTAGGAAACTTACAAACATGGTTAAGGTGAAGGAGGAGCAGACATGACACATGGCAAAAGCAGGAGCAAAAGAGAGCAAGGTGGGAGCTACTACACATTTTTGAATGACCAGATCTCACAAGAACTTGGTCACTATTGTGACAACAGTACCAAGGGGGATAGTGCTAGGCCATTTACTAGGATCCACCCCCATGATCCATGATCTAATAACCTCCCACCAGGAACCACCTCCAACACTGGGAACTATAATTCACTATGAGATCTCAAGTAGTAATTAAAAGTAGCAGATGGCAAGCATTTTCCATGGCTCTCAGACTGTTTTAAAAGCTCTATATGTATTCTCCTGTAAGAGCCTCATAACCATGTTAAGAGGAAAGTACTACTATTATTATCACCTTGATTTACAGATGGAGACACTGAAGCTCAGAAAAGTACAGAATTTGCCTAGAGTCACACAGTTGACAAATGGTGAAGCTGGGATTTGATGACAAGGAATTTGACCTCCTACTACCCCAAATGGTGCTGTTGACCATTATGCTGTACCGCCTCAGTGACAGAAACATGATTATACATTATTTTCTGGAAAGGTGGAATCTTAGCATGCAGGACACAGTTTGAAGTCCTGAATGCCAAGAGAGTTAAGGTAGTGTGCACCAAACACAAGTCTAACACATTGCCTCCAGCTTCCTGGTTTATCGGGCTGGACTCCACCGTCACTTTGACTACAATTTGCTATCTATTTGAGGAATCATAAACACAGCCAAGAGTAGACTGGAGAAGATGTTTGCCCACTAGCCATAAATCTCTGAGCACTGACAAATAAAAAATAGGCAACCCAGTCAATCAGAGGCAAAAGTAAGCAGCAATTTCAAGACTGCTTTTGGCCTCTTGAAGGTAGTTCCACTGGCTGAGCCACAGTGCTTATCAAGCCAATATTAGTTAGTTTGGTGTAGTGTTTTTCAACCTCAGGATAATTGACATTTTGGGCTGGGTCAAAAAAATTATTTGAGATAGTCTTGCTTTGTCACCCAGGCTGGAGTGCAATGGTATGAGCATAGCTCACTACAGCCTCAAACTCCTGGGCACACACAATCCTCCCACCTCAGCCTCCTGAGTCACAGGAACTACAGGTGAGTGCTACTGTGCCCAGCTAACTTTTTAATTGTTTTTGTAGAGATAGGGTCTTGTTATGTTGCCAAGGCTGGTCTCGAACTCCTGGCCTCAAGTAATTCTGCTACCTTGGCCTCCAAAAGTGGGCGGGACAATTCTTTATAATGCAGAGCTGCCCTGTGCCTTTCCAGATGTTCAGCAGCATCCCCGGTCTCCAATCACTAAATGCCCATAGCACCCTCTGCCCCATTTGAGACAACCCAAAACGTTTCCAGACGTTGCTAAATGCCTCCTGGGTGGGGTGGTTGGAGATCAACCCCCATTGAGAACGACAGTACAGTCGTCAAACTATCTCAAACTTTAGTGTGCCTCAGAATTATACCAGGCATTGATAAAACAGAGGTTTCTGGCCCTACCCTATAGTTTCTAAGATGTTGGTTTTAGAGCAGTTCTAAGAACTTGCATTTCTAGTAAGTTTCATGCGGTGCTGATGATGCTAACCTGAGAACGACCCTTTGAGAACCACTGAGTTCATCCGGTTTGTTATGTAGTCAGAGCTACACGTATTATTAATCCTGAAAAGGGATGGTAGAGACAGGGCGAATGACTCAGAGATGCCCTCTCACACTTGCTAGGGAAAGAAAGGCTGTGTCTTAGACTTTCTGTGGAAGAATCTGGGAGTGGAAAAAACCCTGCAATTACCTTAGAAAGACTGGAATTTAAGCCCATAACAAAAAAACTGGATGAGTTATTTAAAATCTCAAAGCTCAATTTCCTAACCTATAAAACAGAGCTGAGACCCAGTGACATTTTATTCACACTGAATGGTTGGTGACTCAAAGAAATTATAAAACAACAATCCCAAACTTTGATCATCCTCAAAACACATTACAGTTTCTTACCACATCCACCCACCACTTGAAATTAATACTTCTTTAAACCAATTCACCAAAATAGTGGGAAAAAAATCTTAATTATCCACTTTATCATAAGAAATATCTATAAAAATCATCATTTTCACTTGCTAATTATGTTTTCCCTAATACGCATTAAAATAACCATTAATCTCCACGTACCAGCTAAAACTCTCTGTATCTCTTATGGTTCATGTTCCACGCTTTGGAGAACACTGAGATACTTGTAAAGAAGACT